ACAGGTTGCCCAGAGAGGTTGTGGAGTCTCCATCCTTGGAGATCTTCAAAAGCCGTCTGGACATGGTCCTGGGTAACTGCCTCTAGGTGACCCTTCTTGAGCTGGGGGATTGGACCAGCTGACCTCCAGAGGTCCCTTCCAACCTCAGCCATTGTGTGATTCTGTAGTATCCTATTTATGCTCCTTGTTAAACTTAAATGCCAGAAAGATTTTTGTTTTCACCACCTTGGCAGCAGTAGCTGGTGTAATTTCATAACCATTTGCATAGATATGAGAAGGATTTATCTCTGTATTTTCCTGAAAGAGCTGCCTCATCTTGATTTTCATGCTAAAGAAGTTGGGGAAGATAACTTGTTCTCTATCCATCTCTGTCAGAAAGGAGATCTGTGACTTGTTTATGGAGTACACTGTAGGCTAATACTGATGTTGCAAGAGGAGGAACACTTGGTATTGGGCACATGAGTCAACTGAAGTCTGCAGGTCTTTCCCATAACTGTCTGTCCCGGAGCAAGTAGAGCCTCTCTCACCCAGCAGGCAGAAATTGTTTGAATGGCCTTGAGGTTATTTGCCTCGTGTCTGCTTTTTACCTGTGGTCAGCAGCGAGAGCTGAGGCTGAAGAAGAAATGTTTCAATGGAGCAGGTTCATTGTGTTAAACCAGGCAGAAGCTTTTCTGCTGGTTGGAACAATTGATCCTTGAGACATTTGGTCAGGAGCTGTAGGGAAGTTGTGGCAGTGATTCTGGCCTATTTGGCCATACAGTCCAAGGAACAGACTTGTCTGACAAGTACTTTCTATTTCTAATTGTGTGTTTAACATACACAGAGGACTTAACAGTTCACATATCATACAGGTCTTCAGTACTCGCTCCAAGAGTTTAAAAAGGGCTGTTAGGCATCAAAGATGCTACTCTAAGGATAGAGACTTAATCTTTGAATGAGTCACACAAACACTGTGCTAACACGCTAAGTAGTGAAGGAAAAACACTATTAATCCTGTTATATGCAGTTGTGCCATGGAGCCTATGAAAAAGGTTTTTGCAACAGTTCTATCTTCAAAGAAACTCTGAGTCCCCTCTTCAGCCTGCCCATCCACCCTCTCTTGAGATCAACAAACTTCTCATAAGCCAGCATATACAAAATTAAATTAGAACATGCCTGAGCAAGAAATGCAAAGCTAGTTGAGTATTCATAACTACTCTTGTGGTTGCGAATAAATAAATGCCCTCATTGTAAACCATCCCAGTTTTGAATTCTCACATGTTGGCCTTCCAGAAAATAATACACTTCACCTAGTGTACCAGGTGCTCTTTAAAAACTGTGTTGGTGAAGTCAGGGAATAATTAAGCATCAGAAACTAAACAGCAGTTGGGAACTTTCACAGACAATCGACATCGGGCAAACATCTTTCCATGAGTGTGAGTATTTTTTCCAAAACAGGTCCATCCCTGACCTCTTGGTTCTGATCGTGTTGGCCAACTGAGAAAGTACTTGTAGGAAACAAGCCTGAGAGCCAAAATCCGTGCTTCTCCTGGAAACCAAGATCACGGATTCAGTAGAGACAAACTAAGTGGCACGCTGCGGTTCCCTACCCACCCTGTTCCCACTATGCCATGCCTGTTTCGGACGTGTTCATTCTCTCTTGCTCCATCTGATGAACAACTTGGTCACTTTTCTGCCATACATCTGCTCCGTGGAGCACAGCTGGAACTGTTTGGACCTCCTTGACCTATGTTTCAGGCTTGAAGAAGGATCTAGGTGCATAAAAACTAATCTTACTGTTCCTTGACAGTATTATTTGATCTAACAAAATATTGCCTTTGCCAAAAAACCTACAATAGTGCTATTACAATTTGTTTTCAAAGTGCTCTCATAAAATACTGAGCTTTTAAAAAATCTGTCCGCTAAGGAAACTGAGCTGTTAGACAATATTTTCCTTTTTTGAACCTACACACTGTGCTTTTTGTTTATATTTCCAAACACAGCTAGGATCAGTTCTAGTAATAATCCATTATTTACCCATTTTTACATTTGAGTGCTTGTCTTTAAATTGCTGACCTTTAATATTTGTCAAGATGGCAGTTGAACAGCAGTTATTTTTTTCCTCATGTAAATGAATAGCCATGCTAGTTACAAAAAATGTCTTTTAATATGTATTACAATTGTATTTACAACTCTGTCAATATTTTAATAGTTGGATTAAGTTCTGTTTTTTCCTAAATATTGAAACGAATGCTGATTTTCCTTAAATACAAGGAAACACTGTAAGAAAAACGTTGCCTTAAAGCCAAGAAGAGTTGTGCTGACTGTCTGGATGCCTGAGAGTAAGGTGCTATGGGGCATAAACAGCTTTAGGAAATGGGAAATGCTCTCCCGTTTGTAAAATGGGGGTGACTTAATTCTTAGGTAAGAGAAAAGTGCAGTAAAATGTGTGGATGTTGAGTGACGCAGGAGAAGAGGAGGGAAGAAAGGGGTAAAAGAATTAAATTAATATGTAAAGAAATTACTCTCTTGGTCTGCTGATCAGTTTATTAATAATTTGTATTTAAATAGGTGGTTGAATCCCTTATTTATTATTGGCCACAAACGGAAGCTTGAAGAAGATGATATGTATAAAGTGCTGCCAGAAGATTCCTCAGAGAAGCTTGGAGAGGAATTGCAGTGGTAAGGAAAAAAATCATTGTTCTCTTTCATTGTATTTCTGCTGGTGAAGGCAAGAGTTTTATTCCTATTCTAAAATTAAGAGGTTGTTATAAAGTTTAACAAGGTGTACTGTTAAAAATGCTGAAGAGGTAAGAGTAATATTTAAAACTTGTTTACCATGGAAGCATTTTAATTTTTTCAAGTTACACATAATGAAAATATATTGAAGTATTGCCACTATGTCTTTTGTAATTAATATGACACTTTGCAGAATGCTTGGAAAAGAAGACTTTTCATCAACCGTTGCTGCAGTAATCCTTAATAAATTAATGTGAGTCTTCTGGTCTGTGGTAGAATAGCTATGGAAACCTTTAAAATAAAAGTAGGGAAGAAGTTTTAGGGTTTTTTCTTTGTTGTTTTCGAGCACAAACTGAATTAAGTGACAGCTGTGTATCCTTTATATATGAGTGTATGTAAATATATGTATGTTGAAAATATGTCACTCTGGCAAAGTGGATAAAATGCCTTGGACGTCTAAAAGCTTGCGTCTAGGAGGTGTTTTTATTTTGTTATAAATACTCTTTCATGGACTGTGTACCAGTTCATGTCATCGTGAACCCAGGAGGAGCTATCTCTTTTTCTTTTAATAGTGAAATATCTTCCAAGAATAACAGTTTATGTTGTTCTGAACCTTGCAGTAGAGAAGATTTTTGTCTTCAAATAATCTTCTAAATATAATTAGAGGAAGAGGTGTCTCCTAGTGAAAGGTAGCCCCTGTATTAAGAAAGTGTGGCCTTGCTATTTCTTGCCTTTACGCTGAAGGTAGAGCAAATCAACTTTCCTAATAGTTTGGTTGGGATGAGAGATTCCTCAAGAAGTGGAAAAGAACCCAAAACCAAAAGGTTATGATCAGGTCTTACATCATCTTGCTCTGGCTGATTAACTAAAGAAAGAGGGACAGTGATAAGCTTGTAGGAGTGCAGCTTTTAACATCTTTTCTAGCTAGAGAGCTTTGCCAAATTCCGCGGATGTGTCTTGGAGCAGTTCAGGGAGTTCGCTGTGGAGGAAGATGGACTCTTTCCAGTGATTCTTACAGTAAAAGCACACACTTTCCATAAGTCAGGAAATGGTAGAAAATACAGCATGCAAAAAAAAGAGTGTTTTTTAATTCTTTAGTGTACTTGGCCAAGAAGCAGAAAATATAATTCATAAACGGCCACCTAAGGAAGTAGCCTTTTCTCTTGGGCCAACAAACTCCACAGAATCTACACAATTGCGGTTCTGATTCTGAAGCATTTAGACAGTAACTATAATCTTTGTAGAAAAAAGAGGATAAAAATGAAAAAGTTTTGTTTTCCTATCCATACTGTATGCTTCAAACTTGTGTGCCTTGTTGCAAAATAATTTGGCTTTCATGCCTTAGACTCATTTCAGCCCTGAAACTAGCAAGGTCAGAGGGCCTGGCAGAAAATATTTAACCTCCAGAAGCAAGGGGAGTATCCTGTCTGACAACAGCATGCTTTAAGAAGTCTGCTTAAGTTCTGATACTTTCTTGTTAAAATCACGCTTGTTATTACTGTCTTTGATTTTAATGTGAACAGATTGTGTCCTACTTGTGGGCAGGCACTCTTTGCCACTCTGCTGCTGTAATCCTTGCCTTCAGAGAGACGTGGGGAGTGTTAAGTGACAAAATAGTTTCCTCTGCTTTTGTGCCGTATCTGCTCATCCTCATTGAAGCGCATGGTGGAAAAAAGAAAGGGCCAGACGTGAGAAAGGGTTGTGTATCACAACCTTTCTGGGGAAGTGCAGAGCTTATAAGAAGATATAGACACTCCATGCTGCCTCAGTTTAGTCCATAGTCAGGAGATCATATGATAATAAGCTCTAACTAAGGTGAGTGGCTATCTGAACAGAGAGGAGAAGAAAGAAAGAAAGGGTTCCTCATCTGCAAATACGTCAAAGGCGATAGTAGTCAACAGTGGTGAATTGTTTGTGATGATACAAGAGCAAATAGGCCTATAATACTCAGTACGATATGTTTATGTGAATGACAAAACATGACTATCTGTTAACTTCTTTTGTATTTTTTTTTGTTGTATAACAGTGATCATGGCAATCTGGCTGTAAGTCTGAAAGTATTTTATTCCAGGTAATTGCCTTACGATTTATACTTCTGTCCTCCAGCATGTTTGCATTTTGTTTGTCAGGTACTGGGATAAAGAGGTGCAAAAAGCAAAAAAGAGAGGAAAAACACCACATTTAACAAAAGCCATTATTCTTTGTTACTGGAAATCCTATTTAGTTTTTGGAATTTTCACAATGATTGAGGTAAGTGGTGTAAAATGTCATACAACACACTTCTTAGCTAACAGCAATGTGAAACTTGGCCTCTTAAATTGCATGATACGTACTGGTGACTTCATGCTGGGCTGCTCAGAGAATCCGTAATGTTCATGTACTCTCTCAGAAAAGTAAAACAGAGCTACAGCCCCGCGGAGACTGAAAAATTGAGTCATAACTGCGGGATTATGGATGTGGAATGGAGAGCTGATTTCAGCGCAATATTTTTGAGCCGTTACAAGCTGTTGACTTGCTTTGAAAAGCTGTTGACTTGCTTTGCAAAGCCGTTGACTTGCTTTGCAAGGCTTAGCTGTATTTTATGTATCTGAGTGGGGTGCCCCATAGAAAAAGGTTTTTTTGCTATATGTAAATGGCTGTAAAGGAGATGCTGTCATCTTTAAAAATGGAAGTGTAATACATATTCATGCAATTATTATAACATCGAAGTTTTTATTGGTAATTGAGAGAGTTCCTTTTAAAGATTCAGCTCAATTTTAATGTGGAACGTATTTCTTTTGGATTATGTGTTAATAAAATTTGGCTTGACATTTTAGAGCACAAGACAAAATAATAGGGGGTGTGACTTGTGGCAGTATTTGGCTCTTGTTTGCTTGGTTACAAACTCAGGTAGCATGGTATGATATGAAATTGTTAATACTTTTTTCCCTTCTTTTTTTTCAGGAAACACTCAAAATAATTCAGCCAATATTTTTGGGAAAAATTATTAATTATTTTGAAAACTATGATTCCTCAAATGAGGTAGCTTTGAATTTTGCATATTGCTACGCAGCTGCTCTGTCTGTGTGCACGCTTATTCTAGCTATAATGCACCACTTATACTTCTATCATGTACAGCGGGCTGGCATGAAGCTGAGAGTAGCTATGTGCCATATGATTTATCGGAAGGTAAGCAAACCTCTTCACAGGTATATTTGGCATTTGACAGCTGTTTCATTAGAAGAGTTTAAAAATACAGTTATTTGTTATGTTCATGCTTGCAATTCCATTGAAGTTACTCATTTGTAGAAATGTAATGCATGCTAATATGTATCAGACCTTAAATGGGTATATGTGCTTTTGCTCTCTCTTTGGTAATATGGTGTCTGAATGACAGCTTCAGTCCTCCTAGTGAAGGTGGTGAATT